CAGAACAAATTGCAAAATCTACTGGACAAGACGCAGAGCGAAGTGGACAAGCTTCAGGAGAAACTGGACAAGACACAAACGGAAATTCGCAGGGTGAGTGAACGAGAATTTATTACTTTCCTCGTAACGTCTCTCGATACTTGGAAAGCTATCGCGAACTAGTTACTAGTTACTCGAATCTCTAAACCGTGTCAAAGTAAAACTAGGGAACACATTGAAAGAGTTACGCGATGATTCGAACGATTCTGAAATTCGCCTAGATGCAAATGGAAAGGGAAAAGCAGAACTACGACTTCGAGAACTTGCAAAGCCAACTGGACAAAGCGCTGGGCCAATCGACGAGGATGCAGAAAGAACGGGAAACGATTCAGTTGGAGGTGGACCGGCTGCAGGATAAGTACGAGAAGGCTCAGGTAAGCGAAGGTGTGGACGGAAGCGTGTCGTCGAGTGACGCTCGACGAATCGAAACCGTGACGAAAAGAATAGCGGTTCCCGCGTCTTTGTCACCGACTACTTTCACGTCCGGCAGATTATAATGCAGCGATTGCAGAAGGAGAGGGACAGCTTCCAGGAAGAGACGGATAAATTGCACAAGAGGATAGAGTTCCAGCAGAATCAAATAGCGAAGATACAACGAGACAAGGAGAACGTATTATCGGAGATGGACCTGGTGAAAGAGAGATTGGAGAAGGTTCACATGTCCCACCAGAAGATAACCGTAAGTAGCCTGTCACTGCTGGTAGACGCGAGATTCGGCAAGCAGCAAGGAAATAACGCACGATCGATACGCAGCTCGAGCGAGACAACGCCGTGAGCGAAATCAAAATCCTGAAGGAGAAGTTGGAAAAGTCCCAGTACTCGATGAACAAGGCTCACGAGGAACGGGAGAACGTTAGCAAGGAGTGCGAGAAGATGCTGGAGAAGTACGACAGGTAAGACATGGCGATCAATAGTCCGCGTGAGTATCGAAATAGACGATTGACGTTGAATGATCTGTTCGACAGAGCCCAGAACGAGGTGTACCGGCTGCAGAATCGCATCGAGGTGATGGAGACGGACAAGGACCGGCTGGAGCTCGAGGCAGAGAAGCAACAGATGCTGGCGACAAAGAGCCGCGAGGAGGCGAGGAAAGCGCAGGAGGAGCTGGCTCGCGTGCAGGAGATGTACGACCGAGCGGCTCTGCAGTTAGGTCGCACGAAAGAGCACAAGGAGAAGTCGAAGGAAGATCTGGACAGGTTAACGGTGGACCTGGAGATGGTACGAGAACGTTACGAGAAATCGCAGATCGAGCTACGCAGGTTACAGAACGAGAGGGAGAAGCTGGTAGCGGACAACGAGAGGATCAGCTTCGAGCTGGAGGGCGCTCACTCGCAGCTGAGCAAGGCGCAAGTAGCGACGGAGAAGACGCAGGACGAGCTGGACCGAATGCAGCTGGAGATGGAGAAGATGTACGAGAAGCACGACAGGCAGCAAGCCGAAGTGAGGAAGTCGCAAGCGGAGACGGAACGGCTGCGAGTGGAGGCTGAGGGCGCGCGCGAAGAGTGCGAGAGGTACGCGACCAGGTTCGGCAAGTATCAGGAAAGCCAAGAACGGCAGAAGGAGGAGCACGAGTGGGCGAAGCTGGAGGTGGAGCGGCTCCGCGATCGGCTGGAGAAGGCGCTGGCGGAGCTCGAACGCGCGAGGAAGGCCGAGCAGGACGCCTCGAGGCTGCGCGCCGATCTGGAACGTGCGGAGGGCGTGCGAGGTAAATACCAGTACGAGCAAGAGAAATGGCAGAGCGAGGGTAGTAGGCTACAACAGGAGGTGGAGAAGCTGCGCGAACGTCTAGAGAGCCGTGAATCGGAGTTGAAGAGGACGCAATCGGGCAACGCCGAGCTCGAGGCGAAGCTGCACGAGACGCAGCTTCAGCTCGAGCGGGCGTTCGAGGAGACCAGCAAGGCGACTGCGGCGCAGGAGCGGAATCGCGGCGAGGTCGAACGCGCTAGAATCGAAACCGAGAAGATACGCGATCGTCACGACAAGGTGAAGGCGAGAGCGGACGCCCTGGAGGCGGACAACGAGAAGCTCCGCGTGGAGATAGTTCGGCTCGAGAGGCTGATGCAAACGGAGGGTAAGACCAGATCGGAGAGCGCGAGCATCGAGGTCGAACGGCTGCGCGCCAGCCTCGACAAGGCGATCGTCGCGCGCGATCAGGTGGAGCTCGAGGCGGGCAGGCTGGCCAAGGAGCTGGAGAAGGCGCACATGCAGACGGCCAAGTATCAGGAGGCGACCGAAACGAACAAGAAGGAGCTCGAACGTCTGGCCGCGGAGATACAACTGCTCAGGGACGAACGGGAGGCACTGAAGCAAGAGCTCAGGCGGATACAGCAGCAGCAGCAGCAGCAGCAACAGCAGCAGCAACAGATAGCCGGCAGCGAGGAGCTGGCTCATCTGCAGCACGAGCTGCAGCTGGCGCAACGGGAACGCGACAAGATGGTCGCGATCCTGGAGAATCGGGAGAAGCACTCGGAAAAGATCGAGAAGGTGAAGGAGAAGCTCGAGGCGGAGGCGAAGCAGTTGCAAGTGGAACGGGATCAGCTGGTGATACAACTGGAGAAGTCGCAGGAGATGCTGGTCAACTTCCGGCACGACCTGAACACGAACGAGGCGGAACTCGAGCGTCAACGCGAGGAGGTTCGTCGGCTGCAACAGATGCAACAGCAAAGGGTGCACGCGCAGACGCCGGACAGAGCGGCGAAGGAGGCCCTCGAGGCGCAGATGCGAGAGGTGCATCGGTTGAACCAGCAGGTGCAGAACCTGACGCAGGCCCAGGCGAAGGATCGACAGAGGGCCGAGCAGGCCGAGAAACGGGTGCAGGACCTTCAAAAGCAGATCGCCTCGAGGGACACGAGCGCGGCTGCTGCCGGTGGCATGAACGAAGCTCAGCTCGAGCAATGGAGGAAGCTTTGCGAGACGGAGAAACAGCGGGCGGACGCGGCCGAGAAGCAGGCTGCCGAGCTACAAAAGCGTATCCAGAACACCGAGAGGCAGCTACACGCCCAGCAACAGCAGATCCAGCAGATGCAGGTGACGATGCAGCAGCAACAACAGCAGCTACAGCAACAGCAGCAGCAGCAACTACAGCATCCGCAGCAAAACGGCCAGGAGGTGGCCAAGTTGAGAAAGGAGCTCGAACGCGCGCGAGAGGACATTAAGCAGGCGGGCGTGGAGCGCGAGCGGTTCCAGGCGCAGCTCGAAATGCTGTGCCAGGAACTGGAGAAAAGTCAGGTTAGCAGCAAGCACGACCTGCACTCGCTCGCGCTAACCTACACTACTACAGCCTACATCCGCACCATAATATGCCTGCACTATGTCTCTGCCTATATATATATATATTTTCCAATTATATATATATATATATACACATATATATATACCGTTGGCTGATCGTTGTCGACTGGCTGCCGACACATCATCGCGCCTCCTCGTCTCTCTATGTCTTCTCATTTCAACCGCAGCCTCTGCCTTCGTCGCCGACGAAGCAGAAACTCGCCCACAGCTCATATATACACGCCGCAAATATAACAGACAAAAAAAAATATATATAATAATAATAATCGAATCATATCGGATATCATGCATATGTAAAACAGAACGATAACGATCGAACGATATCGTGTACATAGATATACATATATATAATATATATATATATATACGTATACAGAGCGAGATCGGAAAAAAAAAAAAGTAACAAACGATGCACCCGCACAATCTTTCTCATCTTATGTTGCGTACATGTATATCTCGGGGCGTCCGTCACACTTCACAGCGAAGCGCAACATCGCCTTCACCATTATCATCCTCCTTGAATTTTTTTCAACCCAACACCACCTACGAACACCTCTATTTCTCCACGAAATCGTTCCCCACGAGCTCATATGCGATTATACTCTCAAGCACAGCCATACGCGCTCATTGCTCTTTCTTTTCGTTTCACGACTATGTTCGATGGTTATGCCGTTTTTTATCCTTATGTTTATCGTTGTTATCACCAGCATCGGCGTCGAGACGATCGAAGCGACGCGAGACCTACGCTGCTGCGAGCGTAAAGTGAAAAATGGCGGAGATGTCGCGACGATCGTCTCCATCGTCGGCTCGTTCGACTGGGTTATTGTTACTGCTGCAATTTTGTTGCGCGTTCGACATCGCAACGACGAGCAACCTTTATTACGAGTATCACTCTACATTTTTTTCCGTTTCGTTTTGGGAGCATGCCACTGTACTCGAAATGCCAGAGATAGAAAATGGTCACCTCGTACGAAACGCGCGGCCGACGACCGCGTGCCGCCATACGCCTGGTCTGCGCTCACGATTGATCCCAGTATGGGCAACCAATCGCACGATCCGTGCACGGAATGCGTTCCGCACGCGCTCACCTCGAGACATTTTTTATCTCCACGCATACACGTTTTTTATATGTATTCTGTACATATTATACTTCGCTATGAACGTCACTAGATTTACCAGGGACTGCGAATTTCTTCTCATCTGCGCGTCTGACTTGTTTTTTAATTGCGTTTCCATGCATCTCTCATTTACGAGCGCCGTGACCATCAGGCTTCCACCTCGAAGCGAGTTCGCCAGCTTGAACCCCTTTCGCGACTGAAAGATGGATAATGGATAGATCGATAGAGGAATGGAAGAGAAGCGCGATGGTCGCGGCTCGAAGCGAAGCGGCTTTCATTTGCCTAGCTGTAGCCTGTCGCAGACGTGGAGGTATAGCATCTGACATGGTCCCTTTCGACGCAGGTGGACTTGCACGAGGCGAACAAGAAACTCCAAGCTGGCGCCGCGAAAGCTGGTATCGACACTACACAAGAGAGAAGACAATTGGAGGAACAGAGACACCAACTGGAGGAACAGAGAAGGCAGATGGAAGAACGAGCGAAGGCCGTCGAACAGAAAGCTAGAACGGCAGAAGAGAAGGAGAGGACGCTCCAAAGTCTCGACCAGGACCTCAAGAAACGAAAAGCGAAGATGGATCAGTTGGAGCAGCAATTACAAAGGGTAACTTGATGCATTTGACGTTCTAATAATTGGCCATCTTGCGAGCATGCACGTGACGATTCTGCGTCTATTTGGACCCCTGTCTAGAGAGTTTGGACCCAGATATTTGAAAAGGGAAAAGAGCGCTGTCATTTGCAAACTTTCTCCTTCTACTAACTATTTTCGATAGTTCTTGGGACCAATATTCTCTTGGTCCGAAATTGTGGTCCGAATTTAAGCAGTTAATGGGTATCTCGTAATTTCTAATCGCGATTTTTGTTATTTAGAGCGGTGGGTCGGCGGACAAGAGGTTGACGGAAATGCAGAAGACTCTCGAAGCTGCCGAGAAAGAGCTGGAGAAAGCGAAAGAGGAGTCGACCAGAAGCTCTGCCGAGACCGAAAGGTTACTGAAGCTGATGCAGATGACTCAGGAAGAGCAGAATACCAAGGAGAGGAAAATCAGAGAACTTCAAGAGTCAGTATCACGGATAGGAATGCAAATCCTCGCGAGATCTCTTTCGCTAATCGTGCGATTCTTTTCACAGTGAACTCAAAGCCGCACAAGCCAAGTTGAAACAAGCCGCAACTGCACAGCAACAAGAGGTCAGTATGCAGCTTTGATTTCTCGTCCATTTCGTATTCTTAACCCGTTTAATCAGGAACGAATTGAAAAATCCAGTCGCGGTTTTATTTCTATTCCTTTCGGAAAACGATGCAAATATGTCAGTCTAAAATGTAGAAGGGAATTAGAACTACTGGATATCCTGGAGGTGGTTTTCAACCGCGCAAAGGGATCAGTATTATAGAGTGGATGCTATTGCAGTTCCTTTGCGCAGTTCGAATCGTAATTGAAAATTAGTAACACGACTAACCAGCTGTCTTTTTAAATTTTCACGCTGACCCTGGACACGACACGTACACGTACGACCTGTGTGTTTGCTTGCTTGATCGTCGTGTTTGCTTTTTGTCTGTATTTGTTCGTCCACTACATTCAAATATGGCGGCCCGTGTGTGCACTTCGATTTCTGTTCCCGTGCGGAACGAACGTGCGTTTCCGAATGACGAATTAAAACGGAATTAAACCTTTTCGACGTGGAACACGAAAACCGTGACACGACGAATATTAAAAAACAAAAAAAAAAAAACGAAAAAAAAAAAAAAAACAGGCGGGTCCCACCGGATTCCTAAAAAGCTTGTTCTAAGGTCGATTTTCGTTGGGGACGCCTTCTCCGTTCTTTTTAGTACAATTTGCATATTAAGCGAACTTTACAAGTACACGAACTTATTATACGAAACTAATCGAACGAAAGGAGATCGTACTGATTCGCCATTGACGACACACTTGTCAAGATATATAATTATTTTACGTAACGCTGCGACCATTGTTAACATATTTAATAATTGATAGCGGGAAGATATTGACGATAATAACAATAATTATTGATATATATAAATATATATATAAATATAGATATATATATATAAATATAAATATTAATGTAAAGGTGATGAGAGAGAGAGTGAGAGAAAGGACAACGGCAACGATAATGTTAATTAATTATTAACGATGCGATGGTGTATGTACATATATATGTAACATGAATATATGTATATACATATTACGCAGGAGAATGGACAAACGCATGTGCTGTACATGTGTATATACACGTACACGACAGAGATATACGTATGTAGATATATAAATATAAATATATACATAAAGAAAGCACGTGAATGGTGTAAGGCCGAGGCAGAGAACGGCGAGCAGAGGAAACAGGAAACAGTGGAGAGATCTTCCAGAGGCTGACTTTCCACGACGTCATGCCATAGAGACGATGGCTTCGACGAAAGCGACAAGATAGAACAGAGAGAAAAGACATACCTAGAGGGGAGAGAAGGAACAAGGGAGACCACAAGATCCGGAAATCACGTGGCACGTTCGCAGCCATTCGGAAACGCACCCTTACGTCGTTCAGCACGAAACCATTCGATGCACACGGGCCAAAATCATCGTGTTCTTACCCCTAACGCCTGTCCATCTTCTTTTTTCGTTCAATTTTTCTTTACGTTCACACCTGTTGCCTTCGCACACTCACCACAACGCCCGTCGCGACGTCCACGCGCACCGATGCACGCACACAACAGCCAGAAACCTCCGGAACCGTCCTCCAGAGGTCCAAGGGTCACGAGGAGACCAGGAGAATCGAGCTGGAAGCGAAAGACAAGCTGATATCCCAATTGGAACTAAAGGCAACCTCGCTGGAGAAGCTGCTGAGGGAGCAGCCGACTTGCACCAAGAAGATGAAAGACGCCAAGAACCTCAGTCTCGAGGATAACGAAGGCTGGAAGAAAGAGCTGGAGCTGAAGAACAGAAGAATCGCTGAGCTGGAGGATCAATTGGTAGCCTGTAGAAGCGCGAATAACAGCGACAACGAATGCACCCAGAGCCTGAAACTGATGGACGAGCTGAAAGAAGAGAAGGAATCCTGGAGGAAGGAGATGGAGGTGAAGAACGAACGCATATCGCAGCTGGAGGACGAGATAGAGTCCCTGAAGGGTTTAACGAAGGAGTCGAAGAGATGCAAAGACAACGAAACTAGAGTACAAGATAACGATGAGACCTGGAAGTTAGAGATCGAATTGAAGAATCGGCGGATCGTCGAGTTGGAGCAAGAAATGGAGTCCTTGGAGAATTTCCTCAAGGAACACGCGGACACCGAGAGCGTGCGAGACCTGGAGATAGTGATCGAGAGAAAAAGCAGAAGAATAGAGGAACTGGAGGACACCGTGGCCGAGTTCGAGGACTTTCTCAAGCAGAATCCGGACGTGAAGGAGCTGCACGATCTTCGTTGCCAAGTTACTGTTGGAAATAGACGGATTCAGGAGCTAGAGAGATGGATTCAGAAGAACGGTGAGAACAGGGAATCCAGGATCGATCAGGAGAGGGTCATCGTGCTGGAGGAGATGGTCACGCAGCTGGAAGAGTACGTGAAAGAGCATAACGTGGATGTGCTGAAGAGGAAGTTGCAAGATCGGGAATGCAGGATCGAACAGTTGCAAAGTCGAGTTGGGTATTTGGAAAAGGAACTGTTGAGAGTCGAAGAAAGCCATCGAGGTAAGATTGTTTTGGAAACCTACTATTATTCTCAGCTTCCCGATACCCGGTTCTCTGTCATCTCCGAGCACCCTCGAATCCGATTTAATTATTTTTACCGATTTTAACCAATATCTCGTTTGCAGGAAAGGATGAGCAGAAGAGTGGCCAAGAGAAAGGCACGACCATGAACCCTGACGATTTTCCTTGCAGCCAAGCGATTGATGCACACTTGGAGCTACGCGAGAAGGAACAAAAGATGAAAAAGATGGAGCACGCGATATCCGAGAAGGACAACAAGATCCAAGAGTACGAGCAACAGATCGTCGAGAGCAAGGAGGAAATATCGAAGCTCAGAAAGGAAGTGGTTACTCTGAAAAAGGAACTCAGCGAGTACGATGACATCGGGGTTCTGAAGGAAGAGATCAGGGTGAGAGACGAGAGGATTCAGCAACTCGAGGACGAGGTAGATTCCTTGGAAAGAGCTTTCAGCGAGAGAATCGATCTCGAGCAAATCGAGGAACTGGTGAACGTGATCAAGGAGAAGGAAGACAAGGAACGACAGTTATCCAAAGATCTGACGGAGAAGAGGAACAAGATCGAGGAGCTCAACGAAGCTCTTCGCGAAAGCGTCGTCATCATCAGCGAGAGCGAACGGAAGTGCAAGAACGAGGAGAAGATGAGGAAGGAAGCTCTTCAAAGGGTAACGAAGTCTTTTTAGAGACACTTATCTGATAATTTAAAAGCTTTTAATATATTATAAATAGTAAAATACTGTATATAGTATGTTTTACTATAATACTATATATTGTACTGTAAATAATAAAATAGTAAAATAGTAAAATAGTAAGTACGCTATGAAAAATAAATATACTATAAATAAAAGTTTTAATATACTATACTAGGTTCCAATTTTCAATTCTAGTAAGTAGTCCTTATTTCGCATTATTCTTCCAGATAAACAAGCTGGAACAGAGAATAACCTCGATGCAATCCGCCTCAGCGTTAAAGTGTATCACCTGTCAACCTCTCCTTTCGAAATTGCAAAAGTACGAGAAGAAGCTGAAACGTCTGACCGAAGAGAGGATCTTGCAACTGGAAGATCTCCGTCAAGTGAAGTAAGCGATTCCGAACAATCGTATCGATGTACTTTCTTCGCAGGATTCTTTGTAAAATCGTGCTGTCGACAGACGAGAAGCTCTGAAAGCCGCGGTTTCCGAGAAAGACGCACACCTAGCCCTGCTAGAACTTTCCGGGATAAAAACTGCCGCCCAGTCCGAGCATGCGGATCAGCTGAAAGCTGATAGGAAGAGGCTACTGGAGAAGCTGAAGAAAGAGGTAATTTCTAGTTCTCGATGTGTACTTGGAACGAAGACGATCTCCAAGGTGAGATAATTGTGTCGTAGGACGAAAAGAGCATCGAGTTATCGGTGGAATCCAGTCCGACTGACGCAGAAGGAACACCTCAACTACTCACCAAGGTCTTGGAAACATCCGACGACGACGACGAAGAAACAGCAAACGATCGTTGCAGCGATTCGAATTCCCCTAGACCGGCTACGACGAATGGCGAGAGCTGTGCTGACTCGTGAGTTCCTTGATGGTTATTTCTGCGGTTCCAAGGGAAAACGCCGCGTCTTTTCACTCTCGACATCTTTTTTCCCATGAAAATACAACGAATATAATAAACGCAGCGCTTTTCCTAACCGCGGATTTCGTTCGCATAGTTGAAGATACTCGATAGCACAAGTCGGTCGTTTGACATAACAGCCGATAGAAGCGAAAACGAGACATTGTGCTTAAATTGGCGTAGTTAGAACCGAATTTGAAAGGTTAATCGTGTAAACGAAACTCAAACACTGTAGAAGGGTACTCCACGAAGTTGTCGCGTTGTTTCCCCACAGAAAGAAGACGTCGAAGGAGTTGGAATCGAGAAGCAAGCGAGAGCAGGCGAGCAAAAGCCAGCAACAGGATAGCAGATAAGTAGACCAGGCCACGTACACAGTCGTAACGAATGTAGAAAGCGAAAAAAAAAAAAAAGCTATCGATCCTCTTCGTTTCTTCGATGTTGTCACGTGCACACACACGCAACCGTAGAAGCAATCTAGAGCATTTCTAGAGCCTTAGAGAGAAAGCAAAACCGGCAAACAGGCAACCAAGATACCTCATCGACATCGACAGCGACAATACAACAGACAGCATCCCCGTGTCGTTCATCATCCACCATTTATAGTCATCACGATCATCATAATCATCATTATCGTCATCCATCATCTTTCATCCACAGTACCATCATCCACGTCGCCCTTGCTACGATTTCAAGGAATCAGCCAGGAAGGATCGTTCAGTGGGAAACTGGTAGCTTCGTTTAACGAAATCATAAACCTGGCTACGCTTTCGTCTGGATTTTTCGGGATATACTGGATGATCGATCGACAGAACGACTCGATCGATCGATCGATCGCAGAGCGTTGTCGAGAAGAACGCGCGTGTTCGTCATTTCTCGATCGTTTCGTTGTTGCGAACGATGCGTGCTCGATACGCAAACACGATTACGCTTCGCGAAGCTCGACGGTCTTTTCAAGCAACAGCTCGATGATAAACGACGATGGAAACAGGGCGTCAATGGAGGATCGTTTACACTTGTTACGATAGAATTTAGGTAGTTTTTTCAGTAGACGAGTTGATTGCATGTCTGAGAATCATCCGGGGATGCTCTGTTTCTCGTGCAAAGTATACACGTTTTTCTATTGGTTGACTGTCTTTCGTAGTTACGACGTCGAGTTTCGTTCGAGGTTCGCTCGATTTTTACCATTGTTGCACTATGAAGGTTCAAAGAGTTATTAGAGAGGGTGAACACGACGTAAGGGTAGCAGTTCGTTCTTCGTCCTTTGGACAAGCGACCGTAATTCGAATAGCAAAGAGAAAAAAGACAGAGTATAAGGAAAAACGGAATCGCTTGCGAGCAAATCGACGCGTTTTCACTCGGGAAACGTTCGATCGTGTCCTTGTCCATGAATAACGAAGCGAACAATCGTAGAAACACAGCAAGTTGCCTGTCGATCAGTTCCGAGAACACGGTACTCCCTTCCATCATTCATCTTTCCCCATCGTCCGCGGAAAAGGAGAACAGCCAACCGAAGGAGAGGACGAGTATATACGATCGGTTTTACTGCTTTCCTTTTTTTGGATTTCTTGTCACGGGTCCAAAGATCGTCGTTGTTAAACGAGCGCTAGAACTCTAATCGAACGGGACCGAGAGTAAAGAGACAAATAAACGAGCAAAGGAAGGAAAAAGGAAAACGAGGAAAGAGGACAGAGCAGAAGATGTAGTTAGATCGTTAAGTACGAGGGATATCCTGTGAACCGCCGTATCGATAGAAAATGGCGGACGCGAATGTTTGTTTCGGTGTTTAAAGGAATGCACGAGAACGAGTGGAAGGTAAAACTCGAGTCGTGGTGCTGATTAGCTTTCAAGATGACAATAAACGAACGTTTCGTGCATGCTCGATGATCTTGCGATGCAGGGACAAAATGAAATATGAAAGTTCGGACGCACGAAAAAAACGCACCTTTCTCTCCCATCGGAGGATTCGTCGATCTTATTGTTCCGAATCTTCAACGCGAATCGTTGCTTGGTTCCGTAGAGAATGTTGTTGGTGGGAAATCAGGCACGAGCTGGACGAGAGATTTTCTTCTAGATTCGTAGAATCAAAAGATAACTTTCATCGACTCGACTGCGTGTGTATCGTGTGATAGATAATTTACGACATCGTTACAGAGAGTGTGATGTACATATTACTCGTGAACTACGCTACGAACGTATGTATACAGTTGTAGAATAATATTATAAATGCGACATTGGTATGTTAACCGAGCTACGATTTTATTGTGAATCGTCTAGAGAACTGTTAACGCATGAACGACTTCCATATAGTTTCTCAGCCCCATTCACTTGGTACGTGTCTATTTTATGTTGACAGCCATGCAGATATTTATGGAAATTGTTGGAGAGCCTTCGTTCGTCGGTCGACAGAACGATATTTATTGAATATTGTTACGAGATCTTTACACGTGTAAATAGTCACGCATAGATACGTATGTATATCTATAGATGAGACTTAGAGCGTTTATGGTAATTCCGTGTGATGTATGGTTACGATTCGTTTTAGAAAATCTGGCTTCCTCCAGTTTGTATTACGTTCCTTTTTTACACCGTTTCTTCTACGTCCGTTGGATATTGTTGCAACTCTCCAAGGTTTATCGATCATTCTAGGATATCGTAGAATTTTTAACCCTCACCTAATCGAGTTTCCTTTCTCCTTAATCGCGCTGGAAGAAGTACCGACTAGAAGCGAGACTCTCTTCTTTCGTACTAACTTTCCGTTGGAGGTAGTCTATATATGAACAAGTTGCACCGATATCTAATCGAGCTTCAGATAGAAAGCCTAACGATGGGTTGATTGAACGGAACGCGTGGATTTTACTTCGATACTCGATCTTCCATCGAGAAGTTGTTGAAACGAACCACTATTACCATTCATTACTCTGTACTACTACTAGTTCCAAAGTAATCCTTGATCATAGTCACGAAGATCGAACCAAATATACAATTCGTACGAAATTATCGAGCGTTTTCTTCGTGCGTCGTCGAGAAAAACGCATCCAGGACATGTAGGGCCACAACGATTGTACTAGACGAAGGGAGGAGACGATTTTGACCGGGAGCCCCTTCATGTAGCGAGAAACGTCGATGACACGTGTCTATGGGGGCACCGGTGATAGTCATCGTTTCCGGAACGATGTCGAGCCACACAGGGGTCCTTCGTGAATTCGAATGGTCAACTCGATGGTCACCGATGATTATCATAAGCTACTTACGTTCGACGAGAGAACGATGGACTGAGAAACTTGGGCGCGAGCGAACGACGTCCTCATTGTTCGTAACGCGTTATGATAATCGTCACGCTTTCGCAGGATCCGTTCTCGAGGCAGAGAGAGAAAGAGAGCGAGAGAGAGAGAGAGAGAGCGAGAGAGAGTGAATGAATGCGAACAAGAGTGAGAGAGAACGATAGAGAGAATGCGAGAGAGAGAGAGAGAGAGAGAGAGAGAGAGAGAGAGAGAGAGAGAGAGAGAGAGAGAACGAGTATTTTTCTCAGCGTGCAGTGAACACAGAAATTTTAGACGACTTATCTGGGACAGCAGGGAACAGGAGAGCTAACGGAACAGGTGAAAACCCGAGGCACTAAAACGAACAGAGAAACTAGAAACGAATCGTTTGTACATAATCGTGTGTCGATGTTTCTTCGATAGCCCTGCTAGAGGTGACAATGAAGCGCGTCCACCTGTGGTCCCCGCTGGTTCTGTACCCATTCCCAAGCATACAGCTAGTCTAGAGTTACCTGTATTACGTGTATACATAGTTATATCTCGCTAAACGAATTTGTCGAGCATTTAACGCAGTCTAACCTACCGGACGCTAGTGTCAGATGCATGATTACCGTACGCCGGGCCGGGATTTCGCGCGGGAACGAAGGGACACGCGACCAGGGCAAAGAGGAAGTAGAGCACGTCCATGGGACCGCGTCAGCCGGATAGAAGGTTGAGGAACGAGAAGCGAAACGTTTCGTTGCGAACGTGCGATTCTTTGTACGGGTCGAATATCCCAGGCCATCGTGTTGCGAATCGAACGAAAATCTGCGAGCCATCACATGGATGAAGTTGGTCGTTTCGAGCTTCCTCGAGAGGGAAAAGAATTTCGCGAGGGGTCAGAGAAAAACGTGAGAATGAACGGCGCATTTTTCGTCCAGTGTCCGCTCGCCGTATACATATTATATATAAATAAAAAGTATATATCGTCGTGTCTGCCGTACGAAGAAGTTAAGTGACATGTTGAAAGTGTAAAATTTTATCGTTAATACTTTAAAAAGATGCTCTCTTTAATTCGTCGATAAAGCGCTCTTTCTCGTTGCTAGTACACGACACACCTTTTTTCCATTCGATCTCTCACATAAGCCATTTCAACAAGAGAACCCTCCTTTCGAAAGACTTGACACTCGCGCGAACTCTACCGACATAGAAGCTAGATCACGCTGGAATCGAAGGGCATCGAAGGGTAGACAGGGCAGACGATCGCGTCGAGAACGACATAATAAGCGAGAATTGAACGCGCAGCAATACCTCATCGAACGGCTTCTCTGCCCTGTGCAATCGAAGCAAAATGGAGTCTGAGTTTTGTCAATGACTCGCAGCAGTCGAAGGCCGTATCCTACTGTTCACCCCTTTCGACTCGAGCGCTGCCAGTAGTAGAAACGTAGCATAAGGGACACGGAGTCTCCGAGCTCGTGTCTTATGCGGGCATTGAAATCACCAACGCGGTGCGCTTCAAACGCTCGGTTTCGCCGATGGTATCGTCCTTTTCATTCCTGATCGTTCGTATAATTTCATATCTCGCGTTTTCATCGATTAATACCTTTTTTTCTTCCCCATTGGAAACGCGGTCGAGAACGAGGACCCTTTCTGATCAATTGTTTTGAGAACTCTTCAGGAAAATCTAAGATCCAGACAATCGAACGGCGACGAAGCTGACCAAACCGACAGTAACGATAATCGAAGGCACTTGTTTCTTACCTGATCTACTTCGTTCCTGCGAATCCTAATTTTCTAAGCACAAAATATTCTTATTCGAGGCATCTTACGTAGAGATAGCTCGAAATCATTTCGGAGGGTTTTCGTTCTTAGGCTGGAATCTGTGTTTTGAGGATGATCGAGTCGAAGGGGGGACAGGGAGGATAAGATAGGAGAAATTGAAAGGGAAAGGAAACGGAATAAAGGTTAGTAAACGTGTGCCACCGTCATATCAAGCCTATATCATCGTGTTACATTATATATATTATATATATATATATATATAGCTAAGCAGAAAAAAAATTAATATTATCGTTAATTGACACATTGTTAACGTGGAGTGACTGCGTTTCGTGTGCGTGTGTATTGGTGAACAAATAAAAAAAAAGTCTTTCTTTCGATCGCTCGAGAATTGAGAAGGCCTGAGAGCAGGTTTTCGAATCTTAAAGATCTTCTTACTGGCACTCTTTATTGTCCGAAATATTAAACTAATCACTTCAATCAGTAATAAAGCAATCACTTTAACATTTATCATCGTATCGTCTTTATTAGAGACTAAAAAGAAAAAAAAAAAAGGTTGTAACCGTAGGATGTAATCGCTTTAATAATTGATTAATTATCTTCAATTTTAAGACTGTTTGACGAATAAGTGAACAGGCGAACGCGACGAAATGCTTCGATATTGCAACTTCGATATTCTACTTAAAAATAGTCTGTCCTCCAAGATACATTGAATATTTAACGAAAGATAAATAAATAGAAGGAACGACTGACGTATGCGATGGGCAAAATTTTTCGGTCAACGCGTCGGAGATATTGCTGATGATATACGATTAACATTATTCGACGACGTTTAAAATCTGTTTAAAATCCGACGTCGCGGAATAGACTTCAAGTACGAAGATCGGGAAGAGCAAGTTTCGTTCCTCTCTTCCATCTTTGGACTTGAAAGCGGGATCGAGAACAAAACGGACCCTTTATTTGGAGACACTGGAACAAGTATTAAAATTTCTTTCGTGCTAATTCCTAGATGTACTCTACTCGAACCAAAAGATGGCCAAACTTCGATGATACAACTCGATAACTCGTTAAGCGATACGAAT